AGTGAGATACATATGGAGCATAAATTGAACAAGACTAGACAAGAAGTGGTTGAAATTGCTAGGAATATGGTTAGTTATGCTAGGAGTTTAGGGTGTGAGGACGTTGAATTTAGCCCTGAGGATGCTGGCAGGTATTGTGGATATATATACCTTTTTGTTGAGTGTTAATTGAAATGTGTCATTTGTTGAATTAGCTATAAAATTAATATAGAAGCTTTATGATTTTAGAATATTTTATGAAAGTTGTGAATGCATTAGTATGTTTGTTGGGATTTTGTATTAGTCTATTAGAAATGGTTTTAGAGGTTGAGTTGTTACTTGTTGGTATATTAATCTTTGCAGATTGTGATTGAATTAATGTGATAGTTAAGGTTTGCCGTAGTGTCATAGTTGTGATTATTTTAGGGGCTTAGCACAAGCAAACTTAAGCAGAACCAAATTATGTTAGTCTTAGGAAAGCTGCCAATGCACAACTTTGTTTTGCTGGGATTGAGTTATTAAACTATTAGTCAATAAAACCCTTGAGACTGTCATTGAATTACTATATTGAACGAGTCACATAGTAGCGCTACAATTTTTGTTACTGATAGGCATTATGATTATACAAGATTTAGCCCTAGTTATGTTTGTTAAGGTCTTAAAGGACATGGAACTAAAGACAAAATTGAGGGGTCAGAGGCATTGATCAAGTTGTCAAGCACCTTAAGTCAGTATAGACGTTGATCAAAACCCTAATGACCTAATGTGCTAGTCAGATGTTGCACTTTTTTCATTTCTTCTACGAAGTATGTAGAAGAATAATATGGACTTTTGTCTCACATAAATTTGGTTGTATACTGTTTTGTAATTGATATATTCTTTGGCTTTGTTTCTTCACAGATCAGATAGAGAGTTTCTTTATCAGATTTTAGGAGAAGTTATTAAGGCTGGAGCAACCACTCTAAACATTCCTGATACCGTGGGTTATACAGTCCCTAGTGAGTTTGGGCAATTGATTGCTGATATAAAGGCTAATACACCCGGAGTCGAGAATGTGATAATCTCTACACATTGTCAGAATGATCTTGGGCTTTCTAGTGCTAATACAGTAGCTGTATGTTATTAATTTTTACTTCTGTAATTTGCATCTCTATAAGGAACATAATTTTTTTTTTTTTTTTAAAGGGACCTCACATTGTATTGAAATTCAGGGAGCATGTGCAGGTGCAAGGCAATTGGAGGTAACAATTAACGGAATTGGTGAAAGAGCTGGAAATGCTTCATTGGAAGAGGTGTGCCTTTATTGAATGAGAATTAAACTTTCTTCCTCTTGATTTAGATGACTGTGACTTGGATTAAGGTTTATGTCATGCATATAATTTAATTTAATTATTTTCATTTATTGTCATTCATCATTTTTAAAAATAGGTTGTCATGACCATTAAATGTCGTGGGGAATCATTGGGTGGTCTTTACACTGGGATTCAGACAGAACACATTGTGAAGGCCAGCAAGATGGTACTTTCTCAACTTAACTCTATAATAACTTATCTTCACTATTGAATGCAGCTTGCATATAGTTTTAGTTCTCCCATTTTTTATTTTTTTTAGGTGGCGGAGTATTCAGGACTGCTTGTACAGCCTCACAAGGCTATAGTTGGAGCTAATGCTTTTAAGCATGAAAGTGGAATTCATCAGGTTCGTTACGGTTCATATGGCTAGCAACTCATAACATTCTTATGGAAGCTGCACTTTAATTATAAAGAATTTTGTCTACTGAAGCCCATTTCTCCTGTTATAAATTTCTTGTATATCTTTTGTTTAGCTTAACATAAATTGTTTCTTCTCTACATCTTCTACAATAATTTTTGGTTCCTGTCAAGGCTGTGAAAGCTATGGGGTAAGCTATGGAGTTTATAAAACTACTCATGTACGCACTCCTTTATATGCAGTAATGTGCCGCTAATTGAAATACTAAAGATTACTCAACAGTAATTTGCCACTAATCCAAATACTGAAGCTAATTCAGCAGTAATATGCCACTGATTAAAATACTGAAGCTAATAGTTGAATAATTCACCTTCTATTTTAGTTGAGCTCATTTCCAAATATTGCTGTGATGTGCCCTTGATTAAAATCCTGTAATTATTTCAGCAGCTCTTTTGCCCCATTCATCTTCATCTTCTTTACCTTCTCGATACTTTAGCTCTTTTAATTGAACCCTCACTAGTTGAGTACTTGAGATGTTCTTTTTAAGCCTCCTTCACAATATAAAGATTAGCCATAATATCTTAGTATCGAATATCCATGTCCTTTTGATTTTATCTTGTTCAGTTGGATACATGGTGAATTAATTTATACTGTATATTAATTGAGGTTTTTTTTTATGATATTGTAGCACGGAATGCTAAAACACAAAGGCACTTATGAAATCATGTCTCCAGAAGATATAGGGCTTCAGCGAGCTGATGAATCTGGTCTTGTTCTTGGAAAGCTTAGGTATGTAGTATTATGTGTGGCTATTTTCTCTTGAGGTCAAATTCATTTACTAGTAGTATCACATTCCTACAATTATTCATCTTATCTGAGTGTCGTATTCATCTTTAGAGTGCATATTATCCTCTTACCTGTGTATTGTATTCATCTGTTTTCTCTAGTCATAGGCCTGTTCAAGTTAACAAAAATGAATACTAGGATTTTTATCAATGCTTATGTTGGCCCTAAGGGCAGCAACTCCTTGAGTCTGATGAAATTGATACTCTTTTATAAAGATACATCTCAAAGATTACTTAGAGACTGGTGGATTTAAGGCTATTTAAGGAGCATAGAATTATCTGATTTGTTTGATTGTAAGCTTTTGCTATGTTTTTCTTCTTGTTATGAATCTTAATGAAGGAACAAAGGCGTGTGGAGCTGTATGCTTCATGCTTAACTTGATTTTTTGTGCATTCCCCCCCCCCCCCCCCCACACACACACACATTTTCCATTACTATTTTTACAGTAATAAGAGATTATTGATTGATTTATATGATTGTGACAGTGGACGTCATGCATTGCAAAAAAGACTTGAGCAGGTAAGTGGTTATTTAGCCACTTTGTCTACTGAACTTCAGTTTACTTATGCCTATAAGTGTCTGACGGGTTTCCTATTTCTTCCAGATGGGATACTCTTTTGAAGGCAAGGAACTTGATGACGTCTTTTGGCGGTTTAAATCAGTTGCTGAGAAGAAAAAGGTAAATAGGATTGTTTCTTTCTCATGAATTTTATGACGCTACCTGTTCCTAGGTCTTTGATACGTTGCTGCAAGCTGTTGGTGGACAATTTGTGGAAATTTCTTAGAAGCTTAGGTTGCAAAATTTTCATTGGTTTCCTCCATATATGACACTGTCTTTTTTACATTTCAATTCACCAGCATGTCTTGGATGAGGACATTGAAGCCTTGGTAATCGATGAACTTTTCCAGCCGGAATCAGTTTGGTCACTTGGGGATCTCCAGGTAATTTGTTGAGTAAATATATATGGCTCTTTATTTTGTTTAATTTCCTTTTTGATTCTATGATTCTTGATGAGCTCCTTAATTTGGATTTTCCTTGGGTTTTGGGCAGGTTACATGTGGAACTCTTGGACTTTCTACAGCAACTGTTAAGCTCATTGATGCTGATGGGATAGAACATGTTGCTTGTTCAGTTGGAACTGGACCAGTTGATTCTGCATATAAGGCTGTTGATTCAATAGTCAAGGTTTGTAGCGGAGAATATCATACGCTAATCTACTACAGTAGAATTTTAGCTAGCTCACTGGGGATTCATAATATTTATTTGAAGTCTCTTCTGTTACCTTCGATTATGGTATCAAAGCAGCTAATTTGTCAACTGAAGATGTTGATTGTTCAATAATTTTTAAGAAAGAAAAGGCGTATAAATACCTGGTTTATCAATATTATCTTCAATCTTAGAGAAAGCTGGAAGCGCATTTTATCTCTCTTCTTTTATCCCTCAAAAAGATGGTTAATTAACAAAATGTTTAACAATAGAGCTCTCTTTATAAACAGGTACCTGTGACTCTACTCGAGTACTCACTGACAGGTGTGACAGAAGGTATAGATGCAATAGCTACCACCAGAGTATTAATACGTGGGGATAATGGTTTCACAACTACACAAGCTACTACTGGGGAGCAAATTCGTCGAACATTCAGGTATGAAATTGCAATTTGTTCATTCTTTTTGGTGACTTATAATGCACCTTTTTTTTTGGTCGTCATTATTAAACTTGTACTCTTGACTGCAGTGGGAGTGGATCTGAAATGGATATTGTTGTCTCAAGTGTCCGAGCTTATGTTAGTGCACTAAATAAGATGCTAGCATACAAGAATAAACCTAATCGAAAAGTCTCGGTGGAGAATTCTCACGTTCCTGCCTCAGATGCTGTCCCTGCTGGTAGTGCTTGAAGAGTTTAAGATCTTGATCTCACTTAGTTTCTGTATAAATGTGGGATGTGAGCCTGCTTTTTTCTACGTTGCCATGGAATGTTGTCACCCAGTGAATTTTACTGTGAATATCGAGCATTTGGTCATTGTTACAGAGAAGAAACCTCCTAGAAAGGTCCTTGACTCCTTGGGGACGGCATAGCCATCATTCACTCGTTCATCTGTTTGCCCCTCAGTGTAAACTGTAATTGCCCCTCCTGCAGTCTGTAACTTCTATTTTTGTAGACTGTAATATGTAACTCGAGATTGCACTTAAGGTGGTTTTATGCAGAGGATTGTCAGAATTTTGAATTTCATTTCTAAGAATAAAATAAAGTATATTGCTTTCTACTTTGTCATATACCCACCCCTTCTCAACTCCCAAGTTTAATGTGCAGCTTTGATATAGAATAAGGCAATACATCACCAGGTTTCTTGCCTCCGCTTCTTTATGTTGCATCTATGAGAGGCTGAGAGCCAAAATTCAAACTTTATTTAAGTTACAAAAACCTGGACAACTAAATAAGGCTTATAAGTTGGAATAACTGGATAAGAGCCATATAACGACAAATAAAGATAAAATTCAAAAATACTTTGTGTAAATGTTATTTAAAAGCAATATGTAAAAAACAACATACATTTCCCCAAAACCCACCATTAAAAATAACGAAAGAAGATTAAGGCTGACTTCAAAAGTACATTTGACATTGCCTTTTCAAACAAGCCAAGAGATACATTGTATAGGTTCAGGTGGTATTTTTCATGATCAAGTACAACTTCTTGGAGCGAGTAATTCAGTAAGAGAGAAATGTACTCTTCCAAGTTATACTCTCACCAGGAGAAAGCAGGTACAACATAGGTGGGATAAGCGCCACATTTGGATGCCAGCTCCTGCACTTTTGAAGCTTCAGCTACTTCACCAAATTGGTGAAGTCGAAGCTCATCCGCATGGATCCCTCCTGTGATGAATACAGACTGCATTCCAGCGACATTTGCACCCGTTATGTCATGGTGCAGTGAGTCTCCTACAGCAATGGATTCTGGTGCATCCACACCTGCCATGGCCATGGCTGATTCGTAGATAATCTGTCCAAGTATGTTCAACCTCAGATTTTGGTTTTAAAGGCAGTGTGACAAACATCTCAATTTTATTTGTCCATAGGAATATATAAGCATTGTAATTGACAAGGTTTGTACTTTGTATCATCAATAGGGATGTTTTGTCCCATATTGTGTCTCATATATATGTTCTGCTGTCCCTGAACCCACCACACCATCAACATTCACCGTTAATTTAAACTACCCAATTTTTAAGGTGTGAAGTTTAAATAGGTGGGACACAAGAACAAACACCAATCCCCATATACAGGATAACAGGACAATTACATCAGAATTCAGTGCAAACATCTCAAGACATCAACTTGTCGGATGATGACATTAATGATTAACTCATTTCAGAGGATACTAGTACTTGTAGATGGTTGATCTCTTAAACATGACGACATTCAATCTACCATAATGACCATGAGGATAGAATGGCATGATTTTACCTTTCCAGGCTTTCCCATCCACTTGACTTCTCCACCAAGTTGCTCATATTTTGCTGCAAGCGTTCCTATGAATGAAATCATAACAGGGAAACAATACATAAAAATTTAGGCAAAGGAGCAAGCAGACAGCTAGCAAATCAGATATTTTATTGGGAATGCTAACAGTTCAACACATTACACTCAGTTCAAAACATAGGTTTTTTTAGCTAGATATTGACATGTTGCATAAAGCAGTTAACAGTGCAAATTTGTTACATTTGAAATATAACCTACCAGGCATAACTCGAAGTGCTCTGGCCTCAACAGTTACATAGTCTGGATTGGCCACTACCATAGGGATTTTTCTTAAAGCACATTGTTCCAATATTTTTTCAAGCTCTTCCAGTTGCTTCGGAACAGCAGATCCAGAAGAAAGCCCCAGTGCTTCAGTGCCATGGACCAAAATGAATTCAGCCTCTTCAACATTATCCACAACTTTCAGGTCTAGACCCTGAAAAAGTAGCAGACAGGAAAGTGATCAGAATTTTAGGTAACCATCTTTGATTTTCTACCTAGCTGAGTAGAAAAAATATATCTACAGTTCTGCATTAATACCTATCCATTCAATAAGTAGGAAGCTGAGGTTATGCCAAGATAGAAAATTGACATAAGGAATTTGACAATCTATTCTTTCTCAGCTATACTTGGAAATAAAATCAATTCATCCTACAAGAAACATCTAAGCAAGAAGATAGGAAAAGGAAAATAGATTTTGGTGAACGGAAAGAAAAGACTAAATGCTCCACTCCAAATTCTCTCTAATTGTATGAAATTAAGAGTTGGTCTTTTAATTTTAAGGGTGAGTGGGGGAATCAGGAATAGAAGATCAATTATGCAACATACATCAAGAGATATGGCACCCCGGTCACCCCAGGTCAAGTGGATGCATGACTTTCCAAGCGCTGCAAACCAAGGATCATCTCGCCTGTCCACAGTGACAAAGAAGGGATATTTCAAACAAGAGTTTACACTTCAGAGGATGATCATAATGGTTGAAAGTACAACAATAAAGCAGCCATTAGCAAAACCAATGTAATCCTGATCACCATTAAAAAAGAAAACACCAAAATGGAAACATGATTAGAAAACACCTTTGCCAAGAAATGGAAGAAGTGCATGCAACTAGTAAACTGCAATGAACAGGCCTAATGGAGAACTGCAGTGTAGGCAATGCTTAATTAGTTATTAAAATAAGCTTGAAGAGGAAGGGAGTCAGTTAGACTTAGAGATGCTACATACAGATCAGTGAGAGAGAAAGTGGGATGAATATTATTGATTGTTTCCTATACACTTTGGGAGAGAATAAGCCTCTGGAAAGTTTTTGTGTACCAGTCTCTTGTTTAATTTCCAGAATATCAATCTAATTCATCTTCTTACTTTAAAATCTGCTATTAAACCCTGTCCAGCTACATCAATTCATAGCACGCACCTGCATAAGAAGCACAAGTTGCACAACACCAGGCGTAAAGGAGCACAAACAATTTTCGTCCAGATGGTATATATTTTAAAAAATTCCAGTGTCACAGCATAAAACTCTTCTCATTTATTTTATACAGGATGATTTTGGTTAAGTTGACCAAGCAACAGTGATAGTTTCCATGCCTAAGAGACCATATTATCCACGTGTCTCCATACTTCACATGTACAATAATAACATTTCATGCCTCCAAATTTAATTACAAAAAACCCATAAGTAAATCTTGTAACTACATTAACTTTCATGTGCATGTGTCCATGTTACAATAAGCTGGTTAAGTAATTTTGAGGATACATCTATATGACAGCTTCAAAGTTCTAGAGACTAGACTGCAAGGTACAGTGCGTAACGTAGAAACACTCTTTGATGCTAATGGATGAATAAGTGTAATGAATGGCATAAGTCAATGAGCCCATCATCTTCTACTTGCAAATTATTAAGGGACATCAATCTTTTATTTGTTCTTCTGGTGTATGATTAGAGCAGTAAGATAAAGGTTGAGTAAGATAAAGTAATACTCAACCTTTCAAGGTATTGATGCGTCAATTCTCCACTGGTGATGGAACCTAAAAAAAGGTTAGGATCAAATCCCAAATTTCTCAATTTCTCAGTTGTCACAGATGCTCGTCTTGACGAGTTACTTATAACCACCATCTTAGCCCCAGTTTTGGCTAGCTTTTCCACTGTTTCCAAACAAGTTATTTTAAGCTTCAATCCATACCAGCTTCACAAAATGAGTGCACAGATAAAAAAAACTTGCTTACCAAATACTTACAAAAGTAACCAATCATAACATACATGTTGATATAGCACCTGGGTACGGCTTTTTTCCATCATGAAGAACTCCAAATTGATCTAGAAACCATGCCTGCAAGAACATCAACAAAATCAATTTTTTTTCAACTATTAATATTATCTGTCAGCTATCCATGCACTTAGGCTTCAAAGACACTTAAAAGTTAAGAAAACGCTATGCTACATGAATCGGTCAGTTTCAGCAATTTCCATCACTTTCAAATCAGTTCCATAACTGAAATCATTAGTACCTTGATTCTAACAAGCCTAAACTGGTTCTATTCTATATCCTCTATTGCAAATGATTGACATATTGTGACATTGTAAAAGAGTGGTGTAAGAGTAAGACAAACAATTTTCGAAAAGGAGTGGAAACCTATTATTTATCTTTGAAAAGGAGTTGTATTTTCTTCACCTAACAAAAACTTCTCCATTATTGATTGGCTTGCAACTCAAGACGACTTCATATAATCGGGTATAAAGGTGTGCAACATGGAATGTACAAAGAAGTTCCGAGCTATTAGTTCATAGAAACCAATGGATGCACAAGTATGCAATTCTTACACTAGATTTTTAGCCCCTTGATTTAAATTTAATCATCTCATCAATTAACAAACTAATAATGCTCAAAACTTCTAGATATTGATGCACAAAAGTCACTTGTATTTCAGCAGAATTCTCAATGTATCCATTAATGATTAATCAAAATTTCCCATATTGAGATTGTAGAAACAAAATGTGAATTACCCTTAAAAGAAAATGTGCATATTATCAAAATCAATCCAATAATCTATATTTAATTATCAGAGATAATATGTAAATTACCCACATAATTATAAAAAAAGATGATAAAAAGAACCAAATTTGCATAATACAGAAATCCAAATTAATTTGGCAATCTTATTATTAAATTCACATATTCAAATTTAAAGGGTTAAACATACAACTTAATTAAATTCTGGGCAAATGGGCAGTGAAAAAAAGCAGTGAAATGGGTAATTAGATTAGAGATTAGAAAAGTAATTAGAGTGAATAATGATGAAGTAAGGACCTTGAAACGACGAGTTTCAGCAAGGTGTTGAATACCGGAGAAGAACTGAAGATCGTTTGCTGAAACGCTTACCATCTTCTCCAATTCAAACCACCACCTGAATGATACTTTGCAGAGAATACCAAAGAGGGGTAGTGTTGGAAAAGTAATAAGCCGAAAGATCGTTACATTTATATACATTCGGCTGTACGGTGCACCAAAGGGTATTATTTGTTTTTTTTTTATGATTATCAAAGTTATTAAAATCGGGATTCTACTTTGAATCAGAAGGGGCTATTAGAATCGAATCGTAAATCGCATCGTATGATATACATGAATCGTAAGATTCTAAAAGATTTAAATAGGGATTTTAATAACAATGATGATTATTGTTCATTTTATTATCAAATGAACAAACATAATCAACGTATACCCTTGGGTGCATCATTCGCCGGATGTATATAACAATTTCTAGTGTAAGATGACTGTATCTTAATTTTATTGTAAGACGATAGTTTTGAATCTAACTTTAACTATTTGTAATTTTTTTTTTTGGGAACTTTAACCCCTTAAAGGTCAACTTTAATTTGTCATTGGTTTGAATCTTATTTTACTAATGTTTAATTTATCATAGATTCACGATTACATACTCTAAAGACTAATATGTTTAGTCTAGTACATTATAAGTTTTATGTAAATAAAATTTATTATTAGAAAAATAATAATTTTTGTAGTATAAAGGGTAACTTTAAATACTTTTAAGATAACGTTAATTTGTCTTATAATAAATTAGCGCACACCTGCCTTTTAGAGGATTTGTGTTTATTTTTTAGTGCGCTTATTTTACTTTATTTTTATAATTTTATCTTGCTAGGATAAAAGAAAAAAAAACTTGTCTTTGAGGGAGAAATATCTCAAAAAGGAGGAGGAATTACTTAAAACAAAGCAAACTTAAATAAATAAACCACAAAAATAATAAAGATTCCTACAAGTAAAACTAATGGAAGCCCCTCTAGAATTCACTAATGGTAGCTTGGGATTGAGAGAAAAGAGGAGGGGCGGAAAAAACACACCGATTGATATCTTGGTATTCAACTTGTATTATCAAATATTATATATATATTTTTCATAATTCTAAAGAGTAATACATAGTTTCATATATTTATGGTCAAACTTGGATATTAGCACATGTGTCGTCAAATTAATAAAGTATAACCCTTATTTCAACTAATATTTCAAGATGAATAGAACACGGCCTTAGTTGGAGCTAAAACTTTGCAAGAGGGGTGAGAGTGCAATATTTAGATTGCAGTATACCTTGTAACAGCATATATCACATTGCTAAATGTATTAGCATACACAACTCAAGACATACTTTCGGATCTCTTTAAAGTATATAGACTTCATGCTAATATTAACACAATTAGTACATTCCACATGATTGACTTAAACTTTAAGGGCTTGTTCTCATAAATTGAACTCAGCTGAACTGAACTGAGCTGAGTTGAGCTGAACTGAGCTGAGATGAACTGAAAATAACGTATGAAAACACGCCCTAATATATATGAACTTGTAGAAAGAATTAATGAAAGATTATTGAAATTAGAGTATATATTTAAAAAACTAATTATGTGTGGTTACACATATATAATCACTTTAGATACAAAAATTAAGAAGGTGGGGACTCTAGGGAAGAAGGGGATGAAGTAGAGGGTGGTTCCTCAATTTTCTTTCCCCTCTCTCTTTGCTGAGCCATGGCTTGTTTCATGGCTTCCTTCCTCTTTTTACTAGCTAGAACTTTGGCTAGGACCCCACTTACATTTGGGTCCTTTTTCTCTTGTTCTTCTGTTTTTGGGGGTGGTCTTCTTGCTGCTGCCAATGCTTTGTCACTAATATTTAGCCCCAATGCTGCAACAGCTACCCCCAATGCAACTCCCAATATAATAGCATCTCTGCACACCCGAAAGTACTAGTTCAACGGTCCGTTTGATAAGTGGTAATATTAAAGCAAATTCAACACACTAATTTTAGTGATTCATTTAAAAAGTTAGTATATAAATAGTGCAAATGTGCGAATGCCAAAGCATAACAAGTATTTTAATATGGATGACATGACGTAGTAATATGCAATATTTTTTTTTTCAATATTACTTTAAGTTTTTATTTTCTATGAAATAATGTTTAAATCATAAATTATGAGAAATTGAAACATTGTTAGAAGATAAGCTAATTCATTGATTTATATTTCAAGAACAAATGAATATACATATACAAAACACATTTTTTTACTTTTAAATGACAAAATAAGGCTTGAAATGATAGATTAGAAATTTACAATATGTGAGTGTAGGACAAAGTTAAGCTTTGTTTAGCACTAAATTAATGTGCAATAATATCCATACTACAACTAAACCTCTATTAGCTCATTAGTTACGTGCAATAGTTATTATTATGTCAGTTCAATAACATTCATTAAAAAAAAATTAATTTACCACCATCTTTAATTCAATATCAACCCAATTACATATAACATTATACTTCGTATCATATACACATAAATTATTCAAAATAAATCGGAGATTATATATGATAAGAAAAATAAAAAAAATACCTTCGTGGAGTCGGAGTAAGAGATATTGGTGCATCAACTGAGACATTTTGAGGAGATACAGAAATCATACGAACATTAAGACATTGTGTATGAATTTTGTTAGGCTTAGAAAATTTAAGTGTTGATGATCTTGTAATTAAGCTGGAAACTGTGCTTAATGCTTGGCTCATTTTTCCAACTCTACTCGAATATAATAATTATTTTTGTTTGGTTTGAAATTTCAGGTCTCAAATCAAGTGGATGATGACATTTTTCTCCCTTTGGTGTTGTGTTTCGGTCCATGTATTTTTTGTTCATAGAAAATTTAAAGCATATGTTAAAAAAAAAATAAAATAATGGATATGTTATGTACATAGAAAGTGTTATCTATTGGTTGATTTTTGATAAGGTTTTCATATTGCGTGGACCCCTTTTAGGATCTATGTGTCTTAATTTGTTCTTCGTTTTTTTTTTTTTTTTTTTTTTTTTTTTTTTTAAATGTGACAATTTTGCTAGATTTATGTTATGTGTAATTATAATATATTTCAATTATTATACCTGTATAATTGAAGATAAATTCAAATGTATGCTTTAAAAAAAATACGCGTAAAATTAAATGAGATAAACAAAAAGGAACATAGAGAATAAGCCAGATTTGTATTTAGATATAACAAATTGATGCAAGCAAAACGAGTAATGCCTTCAAGCTATGCTTGCTAATTAGTCGAGTTTAAAAGTTTTGTTTAGCCTCAATTATTTACTTCACGAGCAATCTTTAGCAGAACTTAATTTTGAATTTAGCAGAACTTAATTTTGAATGTATCGGGGTAGGCTTTGTACACAAGTTGTAACACCATATTTTGGATTACTGCTATGAACTGAACTAATCCCCAGCAAGAAAAGGAAAACATAAACGCTTTTCAATTTTAATAACACGAGTTTTATTACCCGAAACCTGATATATATTTAATCAATGAATCAAAATTGATACAGAACATTACAGCAATGAATATAAGCATGAAAAAATGGCGGCAAAGCCACTAATACAATCATTGTGCTATACACACTATTGCACAAAAAAGAGAAAAACAAGCGGTTTGTTGAATAGATGACTAGTATTTAGACAGCAGAAAGGCCAGCCCATTTTCCAAGTTCATATGGGTCAGCATAATAGTATAACTTTACTCTATTGGCCAGGGAAAGCCCTGCAGCCAAGGGTGAGCTTCTGTACTCGGCATCATCTTGCTCTGCAGGGTCATCAATATATGCAGCGACATCCCCAAGAAGTCTAAACGTGATTCTACGAGTCTGCAATTGTCTTGGCAAATCAAAATACATTGGAGTTCCAGGCCTGGTTTCTGGCAATCGATATTCCGCTACTGTTACCATGTTAGTATCCTGAAAAATAACAACAAAATTACTCAACTCAACTCTAAATTTTGGATTTGATTGAATTGCATGATTCAAGTACACAGCATCTCTATCAAACCGCAACACCCAAAAATAAAACAAACAACCCAATTACAGACACACATCAGGAAAGGCATCTCACAAACTCACACCAGACGTCCACACCTTTAGTGTAAAAAGAACACATCCTTACTGTCTTACTGAAGAAGCCCAGACGGGGAAAACAAAAGGAACCAAAGACATTTTACCCCCTTGAAAAACTAAATGAAGAGTTTTTATTAATAGAGCTTCTGACAGAATGTAAGTATGAATTTGCCATCCTTAAAAAAAAGGAGCGGCTCACCTGCTGAACAGACTATAATGACCCACACCATCTAGCAGTTACATAACTCAGTTTGTTTCACATGAAAAAAAGTTATTTCTAAAAAAAAAAAAGAAGCATGTTTTTGTCATTCCAAATTGAAGCTCTGACAACCAGTCACAATTGGCAACCGAGGAAAATAGCATTTTTACTAGAGTTCTCGTCCAGCACACAATCGCACATATACAGTCTTATTTTATCATGTGGAAAGCTTTACCCTATACATGATCTAAATCTTCAAGCTTATTGCAGAATTTATTTCTTGTTCATGTAGAGTTTATGCTGTTAGTTAATTTGGCTTGTGAACTTGATCCAGCTTTCTTCTATATAATTTCCTTCCATATAAGGCTTAAAATTGTTCACTGAATGAGTAACTACAGAACTGGATATTGAGTATTATAGTATCCGGTCAAAGTTTGCAACTACAAGTGAAGTGAAACAAACAATTATATTTTCACAACAAGATTATATATGAAGCAAGAAACAAGCTGGTGTTCATAATTGGTGACCATGATTACCTGGAGTACAGATACTTGAATAAATAACACGGCAGGTGTGATATGCCTTTCTTCTACAAGTAATACTGCAGAGGGATCCCAAGCATGCAGATCAGATGTTGGTGAATGAGTTGTCCGAGGTCTAATAGCACTAAAAGCATCAAGACGAAAACCAGCTAACAACGGCGAAGCAGGTGATAAATACTGCTCTAAGACAAAATCATTCTCGATTAACCTTTCAGTCTCAATTGGAACCTGAAATGCAAAGGCAAACTTGCTGTTCAGTACATATGAAATTTGACAGGTGGAAAGTGATACAAGCAGAATAATGCAGTCTTAGTAGCGCCAGGCAAATATAAGCATCACATGAACCTTAAATCTATTTAGCTGAGGTGGCTTCTGCAACCAATTTTGCAATTTTAACTGTTCTGAACTTTCTGGTGCTGTGAGCTCCATGTCCTTTTTCAATGAAGTTCCAAGCACAAGAATTCGTTTAGCATGAAGACACGGATCTCTTTCATCTAGGCTCCCAAAAGATGCACGCCTAGTTGGTTGAACAAAAGGATTCTCATCCAGTGATAAAAGATTGAAATCACTCCCAAAATTCACAGAAGCTGAACCAGCTCGTTGAAGGCTTAGCATGATCCAAATGATGCGGCACCGAACAGGATTCCTGAAGGAAAACTTGATGTTCCGGGGAGCAGTCCCAACGGCATCCAAATTTTCCGGTCCATAGTACTCTGGCGAAGATTGCAAGATAGATTGCACTTCCCACTTTCCCACACATGACCTTTCTTCCTTGCTTATTTTATTGCTCGCCCATATTTGCACCTATAGTAGAATAAAAATGAAAATTCTAGTTATGCACAACCCCAATAAGCTAATCGGCATAAATATGTAAACAGTTGTCAGTGCAAAAGAAAGAGGGGATGAATAACAGACAAGGTTTACCATCTTCTTACAGGAAAGAACTAGCAACTGGTCTAGTTAATATAAGTATTGGCAAAGTTGGTTTTACCCTTTGTGATGTTGTTACAGGGGTGATTTGTGAGAAGAGAAGCTTAGCAGTTTCACCCCAACTATTCCTGTGACCGCTGAAGCTATTAAGTTACACATTAGGAAATTGGAATTTAACTAGGTCTATCTATTTAACCCACCAAGTGCTGAAAGGATAATCTAGACTCACAAGATATCATTAGCAGGATAGGGTTAGAGTTTACAACTCCATTTTGGGACAATCTTTAATTATTTATGATTCAAGCATAAGGATGAAAGAGAGTTTGGGGATCTTGTGTCAGGTGTGAATTGAGAAAAAAACAAAAGGAATGATCCAGGGACAGGTCTGATGAAGCATGTTAGTCGAAAAATTAATACAAAAAGGGTAGTCATCAATAATTACACCAGCTTCAAAGATAGTTCCGATACTACTCAAAGCTTCAAATCAATCAAAAATAAGAATATGTACAAGAAGCTTTATAATAGTTGTGCCATCTCTATTCTCTTCCCATCAATTAATTTATGTAGTGACACTTAGAAATCCAATCATAAACCATTAAAATATTACGCAATAGGCAACAAGTTTTAACAAAAACCTATAATAAAATATGAGATTATTTTTATGGACAGGTAAGCTGTATTTCTAAACAGATACTGTCTCCACTAATGTTCTGCTTTACTATGGCCAGTTGTCTCCACTTTTGTTTTCAAGTTATATGCTTATATCCATTTGGAAACCTAGAAAAAGAACATAAGAACTGAATTTTATTTTCTGTCACTATAATGTCCTGAGTCATGACTATTGCTATATATTTCACTATCTATCCGCGTGATATAGAATAACAAACAACAGACCATAAATTGTGAATAACTCAATCAGTACACTTCACAAGCCAGGCACCATGTAAGTTATAGAGACAACACTTACAGTAGGAGCATCAGCTTCTGAGTAGCCACATGGGCTAACCACTAGAGTTACTCCACTGACATCAGAAAGAGAACCAAGAGCAATGGCAAACTCTATGCAATTGTTGTTTGGAGGAGCTCTCCAATAAGAATGTTGGGGCCCTGAATCCAGAGGAGCGAATAATGACAAGGAGGGAGCTGCTCCTACAGCTGTTTCAACCTTCCAATACAAAGGGAAAAAAGAATAAGACAGAAATATAATAGTTCATGTCCACTCAAAATGAAAGTACCAAATGGCGCACACACACACAAACTAAAAAAAAGTAATTAATTCATACTCTTTTTCAGCTTCTCAATTGGTAATTATTATACCTAACGCCACTTTTATAGAGTTCATCTCCATAAAATACAATATTTCTTGAAAATAAATCTAAATAATGAAAAGCAGAGAAAAAAAGAAATTAACATAGTGTTTTTCAGCTTCTCAATTGTTTATCAAATCATTACTCCAAACTTGAAAAAGACATTTGGATAAAAAAAAATCCGCAGAAGGTTCTTTAAACAAGTGGGGGCACCTTGGTTTGGTAAAAAGATAAAATAGAGTGCATTCAAATTTACACACTTTCTAGAATAAATCGCTTCAACTGACCCATGCAACTTAGGTTATCTCTTAAAAAATAATATTAGAACTGCACAAGTAACAATAGTATTACATCACGAGAACAAAATGTCCTCGAGCATTGACAGGAAAAAAGAACTACAGGTAAGAACAAATGTTTCATCAACTTATTACACTAAACAGTCTAATGACAAAAACTCTACACACTGAATCACATTTGAGCTGGGGGGGGGGGGGTCATGTGTCAAAAAATGAACCGAGTAAAGATGCAAGTTGTCAATTATTCAAGTGTACCACATAAAGGGTATGCAGGTTAGTGAAATACCTCAAACCCCGCAACTTCTACTAAATCTAACCTAAATAGAAAAGAGAGCTTACCGAATACAAAAGGCTGGCAAATGGGAATTCAGCTAAAGATTCTTCCCCCTTAAGTAACCTTCCCAAAACTTTACTAGATTCTAGAGCATCAGAAGATTTGTACTTTTCTTCAGTTCCATCATTCAAGGAAAATCCAAGGATGTTGGCTAAAGCTGTAAATGCAGCAGCACCAACACGGGTGGTTCTCCGGGAGCTCAACAAGGCCCTGACATAGTCCAGTACTAATGCATTCAGCACAACATCGCTGCAGCATTGTTTACATACAGCCCCATCTGAGCCAATGCGGCCCTGTCCACCATTACAGCTTAAAGAACCCCTTGTACTATAGCTTGCAAGCAGAGATGCTCCCCTTCCAGCACAGCATATTATACAAACGTGCCTTCCACAATGAGAACACAAAAAAGACTTTGAGGAATCTGCTGATAATTTCGCATTAGATATTTGAGCTGCCTCCCCATTTTCAGCATGTACCTCACATACACCTCCAACACAGCTCTCCCCAAAACCAGAAACATTCCAAAAATCAATAGCATCATCATCACTTTTCTCAAGACCAATTGATTTGGTAATTTTGTCTTCAAGAGCTGCTTGTCCCACCATTGCAAGACTATTGGCAACTCTGCATAATTTTACCATGTATACATCGTCAAGCAACAGATTAGGATTTATAGAAGCAGGATCTGTGCCAACTGCCAATAGTGCCCTATCTCGCTCAGCAGCAGAAAGATTTAAGTGCAAACGTTCGATTTCCAGCTTTATAGCTTCCATGAAATTCAGCTTCTGTCTCTACAATAGGTAAATAAAAGCTTGAGTTCATCCCAAGAAACATTAAAAAATGAATGAAAATTACTACCCTTTCAAACCAATTACATAATGGTTAATGATACCTTTAGCTGAATTCTGGTGGTTTATTTATAGTCAGAATCATGAGAACATCAATGTTAAACACCTAAAAACTGCCAATTGTCTAGATCCCTGAATTTAAAACTTGGTGGTCAACTTAGACCACGAATCCAACCACCGAAATCTGGTTAACTGTACTTACTGTAGCTTTATTAATGAACATGATTTGGACTTGTAATTCACAAATCTTTGAAATTAATTTTCTTTGAAATGTCCCTACATCACTAAGTGACCAAATGAATAGTATAAAAGTGATCAACAAAACAATCCCAAACTGTTACCCTATCATGGAAAAAACACACATAAACTACCTCTGTCCTAATCATAGTTATATGATCAATTCGGATTATTACAAATGGGTTTGACACCCTTAGAGATGTATTAGCTATGCCCTTCAGCAATTTTTAAAACTCTAGATCAGGACCCATCAAAAGCAGATTCATAGATCAATTATCAATCACATACCATGTTTGTATTACTTAACTATTAATAGAATAATCAACACATACCATTTGTGGACCAGCAAGAGACTTAAAGCAGTTAATATACTGCTTAGCACCATTATCAGATGGTTTCTCAACCAAAGGAGGGGACTCAGAACCAGTCTGATCATCACAATGCTCATTCACAGAGTTAGCAAATGGATTTAAATCAGTTCCATCTCCAGTCAAAAGGTCAAACCAATCGCTGGATGAAGAATTTGGCAGAGTTTTGGGTTGAAAATTTTCTCTAGATACTGACGCACCACCTCCTACAGTACTGGAATGAGGACCAGGCAAGAGAGTATTTGTTTGTTTCTGGAATTTTTTTGCCTGCTCACGCAATCTTGCACCATGACCTTCATTAGTGAAAATCTCTTTCCAAGGAAGAGACACTCCAAGAACCTCTACCTACAAAGATATTACCATGCCACAGCCAAGTAATGTAGTAAGTCCTTTTAAATTTCCAATAAAAGTAAGGCAAAATTAAAGAGATGCATAGATAATACCATTTTAAAAAAAATAAAAATAAATAAATAAATAAATATAAAAAAAAAAAAAGAAAAAGAAAGAAAGAACAATATACACGACAGTAAAGCTAATGACATCTTAAAATATCCGATATATGTAGGTGGCAACAGGGGAAGGGGTCGGATTTATCCTGAGTTACAAACAAAAATTAAAGATGTGTGATGAACCAACACTGCAAACTCAGAAAAAGGGGGAGACAACTATGCACTAGGAGACAAATGGTGATGGTTTCTAAGTAAATCCTCCAAAAGTCTTCTTAGATAACTAAGCCCTATAATGGCTATAAAGCATATTAATGGTAAAAATGAATTTAGTGGAAGACGCCAAAACTTTCAAATGAGAAATGCCTTCTAAGTTCGGGAAAAGGGCGCTGCATATTTCCACATCATCCTCTACAAGATCTATGAGGAGCATTGTCCAAATTTTCATAGTTAGACATATCAATATACCATAATTCATGAATAATTAGTACTCAGATTACAAGGATTCATCCTTTGACAATGTCTCTCACATCTAACACAGAATAGTCTCAACACGAGAAGCAAGTCAGACAGCGAGTATTTGTGCACGACCAAAAGTTCTTTTCTGTATAATCTTTTGCGCACAGGTCTTCCTTTTTGGCTTTAGGTCTAAAAGAAGAAGTTTAATTAATCACACACATGTAAAAAAATCAGAACTATATTTTGACATTTCACAATCAAGTAATGGGAAGCAGATACTAGAACAAAATTCCCAGCAGATCAGCCTTGTACCTCACCGAGAGTTAATGGAGTTCTCCCAGAAGCAGCAGGATAGAAAGTAAGAGAGACCACACGAGTGAGAAAGTCTAATTCTCCCTCCAATTCCTCAAAATCATACAACAATGACAGGGTAGAGGCATCTGCACCATTAAGGCGTGCACCAGCTCCAGTCACAGCCATATCTTCAGAACTGACAGGTCCAGGTAAGGGAATTAAAATATTTGTCCCATTTCCACATTGAGGTATTGAAGCTCCCTGAGAAGAATTTAAATGATTATGAGAAATGACTATATTTTTACAACATATCTACAGTAGAATTACAGTTACCTTGGAAATATAAAGCGCAACATTGCAACATAAAAATTGAGAGGCAATAGAAACTTGGATATTCACCAAGGAAAATAAAATATAGAGCAGCCATTTTTTACTTACTGTATCTCATGACTATTTACATCACCAACACTATTCCCATGAACAGAAGTACAAGCTAAATTCAAATATCTGAATAGTAACAGTAACATTGCTAAAAGACATCAGAAATTAAAGGGGAAATTCATGTCAAATAAACAATACAGAAGCTGAAAAATCTTATATATTTGCTATTCACTTTTGAAAAGGCCGAATATCATGACATTTACAGAATAACCCATCAGGAACAAAACAAGAAGCCAGAGAAAGTGTTGCCAGAGCCAAAAGCAAGATCTAAGTAAGTGGTCTTTTGGTTGAACATAGAAAGAAGTATTTGCTAGGCAGTTTCTAACTTTCTAATTTTTTTTCATATATAATTCCATTTCGCATGAAATAGGAATTGCAAAATTTTGTTTGATAGGTGAACGTTCGACTTATCTAGGGGGAGTTAGGGTAAGAAGCTACCCTCACTTTGTGGGAAGTAGTTCCTAGGAGATGAACTAAGTTTATGCCAGCCAACAACTTCACATTCTTCTACTTCGTAAAAACATTGCACTTATATATATATATATATATATATAGCTTACTCCTGACAAGTGAAAGGTTGAAACAACCCACCGTTGGTGACCTGATTTCTTCTCAGAAATTTTTTAATCTTTCATATACAGATATACAGTACCCTTAATCCAGAAAAATCAGGAAATTTTACATTTCTTTTCGTTTGAGAACAGACATGACATTGATAAGAAGCAAATTGACACTATACTTGTAATTTCTCTATTTTCACTGGTTTACACATAACTACTCACATTTCATCATACAATAAATATTAAGTTATTATATTCCATTCTAGGAAAAAGGCAGCAGATAAATCTATCACCAAAACGCAATTAAAAAAAAACATTGCAGAAGAGTGCAATTACATTATGGATTCATGTTTCTCTTGCAAGACAGAATAGTTGTCATGCACAGATGGTTTAAAATACTTATCATACGAGATAATACTAACCTCCAAAACCAGTTTAAGTCCATCCAGATCTCGGCCTGTTCTCACATCAACTGTTGAAGGAAAGGTCAAATCATCCGCACCATGTGAGACAGTGAGAAGAAGCTGACAAACATGGCATGGCTCAGTGAGGTAAATGAAAAGTTCAACTACATCTGCAGCCTGGGGGCAAACCTGTAACATCAATGTTAAGTTAAAGTAAAATCAACAGATTATACAGCTCAAATATAAATATAGAAATCGGAAGATAGCTTCTAATCTAAAAAATCAGAAAATAATGTCCTAAATGCAGGAAGCTCAACATACCCAGACCAGATCTTTTCTCTTGAAACTCAGAAGACCAGAGCCATCACCAGAATTTGGGAAAATGCTTGGAACAGGCTTGAGAAAGAAGCCAGGTGGTCGAGACAACACCTGACACAATCAGTTCTGTGCATCAAAATCACATTCAAACAAAGAAACATCTAGCATTTCAGATATATGCCTGTGCAGACAGCAGAAATGTCACTCCTTCAAGAACATAATCAATAACACAGGAAAACATGCCACAAAAATCGGACAACTGTTGTCTTGGCATCCCAGACATATACTAGATGCAAGCTGTGGGGTAATGCGCATTCAAGGCATTCATCTGAACCAGGTCATGCTGATGACTGACCCAGAAAACAACTATAATCTACATTCAAATGATCACAAATTGAAGCACAGAAAATTAAACTTTATTCAAAGATTTTGCTATCAACAATGCCAACAAACAATACGTCATGATGTAAATTCCTAGACAACTCATTACCTGCTACACATGTTAGTATGTTACCCAGCTACTAGTGCTGGTCACTGGTATATGTCAGGTGTCAGACTCGACCATTCTACAGAAAACCCAAATGGCTTTAAATGAAGTCTCAAGTGTCTGTTTCCATATTGAATAATGATTTAAGCAGCACACACTAGTGACAAAATGAAGAGTACAAAATTTAGAGCCACTTTATTACTTGCCTCTCAGCAATAAAGTCTAATGATAGTTTCAGGACACTACATATGTTATCTTACCTTTACTTACAAGATCCATATATCTGATTCACACTAGTCTTTTGACAACAAGTGATAACAAATGAGGGTTAAAAGGCCTAAAACTATATAAATTGCAGATCTGGTTAGAAGACCTCTTATTGTTGAAATACAAATTTTTTTTTTTTCCAAGAATTGGAAACGCTGCAAAATCTAAAAACAAAACTAAAGCTAATTGTAAAGTGTTAAACATTCAACAGACAGCAGTGTTCATAAATATGTTTTAAAGTCTCTTCATATCCATGCAAATACATCATTCTGATAGACACAAGCAAATAATCAAAGCACAACTAATTCCATTAAAAATGACATACATGCAAAGGAAAAAGTGGGATTGACGGAAGATGCTTAAACAGCCTCATCCCAAGAAACATCTCCAGCTGCTTCTGGCGAGAACTATCAACAAAAGTGTTTTTAATTCTTCTTTCTATAGTTATTTTCAAGTTTTGTGCAGCAGCTAACTGTTTAAATTTGCCACCTTGCTCAGTAAATATGGTGAGTATCTGGCTGTGCATAGCCTTAGAGCCAGTGTAAAGTGTAGCATGTATATCCCCAGCACTCAAAAATAACTCAGCAAGTTGAGATACTGGTGATAATATGGTTGACCTCTTAAACCCCTCAAACGTCATATCAAATCTTTTCCAAGGTTTATCTGGGCAAGGATGGCTCCATGTAGTCGTCCTTGTATTATGATCAATAAAATATGATTTGCCTGTCACTGCATCAGAGCGCTTTTCCCAGCCAGGTGGAAGTGGGGCTGTATATCCGCTATAGTTATCCACTGATTGATAGCCAATATCACTGTCAAGAGATATACCCAGTCTTCTACATTGCTCTACAAAAACTTGCAGGGCTCCAAAATAACTAGCAGCATTTGTCCTATCCAAAGAATCAGCACAATTGAATCGTAACACGCCATTTTGGCGAGATCTTAAGACATATGCACCCTCAATCTCATCAGTGCAGATCACTTCACCTCTGCAATTGCCTATGCGCTGACGAGAAGGTAAGTAATCCCCTTCAGTGATGCCAATGGTTATCGTAGGCCCTTTAAGGAGTCTCCATAGCCCTTCAATTGTTTGCTGCTCACCATACAACTTAACCCTTGCATGCCAGTCGTAATTCATTAAAACAATTTTTGTAGAAGGAAGCATCCCTGATGATCTAATAAAATTTAAAGATTCCTCAAAATGATGAACCAATATAGATTCAGATTTCCCCTCAGCACTGCGAAGTAAATTAATGCACCCTATTGGGACAAAAGGAATTTTTTTCTGGTTCCCACCAGAAAAATTGAAGTTTCGAGTATCATATCGATTGCTCAATCTTTGGTAGTATTCTGCACTTCCCTTGTAAGGATCATGTTCAGCAACTTTTATTTCTGCTTCTGCAGCACTCATCTTTAAATCAGCACCCCACCAGATAGGAATAGAGCCCCTTCGCCAGATGTAAGTATTGAAGGGAACACTCTGGCCAGCCCTTTTGGGTACCCAAACAAGCTGTTCACATTCAACTTCATTTCCTACACAGCTGAATGACTCAGTATGCAAAAAGAAAGAATGTACAGCAAATGGTAAGGAATGTTGACCACAAAGAAATTTCTGATCATAAATCACTGACACCCAATCCCCATCATTTAAGCACCAGGGGAGTGAAGCATAGTTGAAAATCCTCCAACTCCATTACACCATTCTATAACATTGCACTAAAAAATAGATCAAGTTGGGTTTTTACATATAGGTAAAAAAAAAAATGAAAATTCAGAAATTAATTTTTGTTTCAAAAAAAAAAAAAAAAAAAAAAAAAAAAAAGTAATTAAGATGATTACACATGATATCTTCCCAATACATAATTAAAAAAAAAAAGTGGTTAAACTTAAAAACTTTGAACGCATGAAAAATAAAAATAAAAAGGCCCTCCCTCCATTCCTCAAAGACCTTCCTCATTTCCATTTTAAGCCCATTCCTCAAAAATTTCCTAATTTATGTTGTTCTAATTTTGGCAAATAATTATCCCATAATATACCCTTACTAACCCCCACCACATGGGTTTACTTATCGTGTTTATCTGCCCACGATGCATGATTAAAATTTTATACTTTCTCCATTCTCAGACATGAGTAAGGAAGGAGTTTTTGCACACTTAAGTAGCACAATTAAAAGATACTAAAAAGTGTATAGACATTATCCTACCTGCGCCAGAACAAGAATTTATTCCCCTGGCCAAGTATCGGGTACCAGGATGCAGTCTGCTGCGTCGAGCAATCAGAGCAATGATACCTTCTTGCTGACCTAAGCTCCCAAAGCTTCGACATTCTGCAAATCCCTATGAATTCACATGAAGAAAAAGAATAAAATGAAATAACACGAATACATATTGTAAATTATTTTGGGTACAAGAGATGAATTACAGAGATATAGAAGTCAACAACAAAAGAAGGCAAAGGATAGCACCAAGAGCATAAACAAAGAGAACCATAAACAGTATTACAGAGAGCGCATATAACATGTTGAGAGCAAATCCATAAAAAGACCATATCAAGAAACAGAATACACAAGCTACCTCTTCCCACCCCATTTGTAACTCCCTGCGTTCCATTTTAGAATGTCCCAAAAAGCTCCTTTCTTTCTATTTTTTGGTTAAAACTAAGTTTCCCACACTACATTTTTTCTCCCCCCCCCCCCAACTGTCTTTCCATTGTAAGGACGTATTTGAGAAAAACATGTAATTTTATTACCTTAAAACAGAAAGAGTAATTTGATTATAGGACAGCTAAATAGAATACCATTCCATCTTAGGATGAATCAAAAAGCTCCCAACTTCCATTTTTTAGTTACCAATGTCCAATTAGACTTTTCAAAAATTTGAAAATATTACTTTGACTTATTTCTACTAACAAGCATATAAAAAAAAATTGTGGACACAATCGCAGTTGAAATGTTATTGATAAATGGAGCACATTCCTCCAATGCGGTGTAAAATACTATTTTCCTTTCAAAAACATCAAAGTTTAAAATGTATAATTTCTACAGCATTTAACAAAACCTATCATAATGAGTGGTTATATATGTGGTGAATAAATAAACTTTTAACATAAAAGGATTCAGTACCTACATAAATAATTGGTAAAATACAGTTGACCAATTTTGACGCAAGAATGGAAGTAATGGAGATTAGGGGGGGGGGGGGAAATCCTGACGTCACCAGTCACCAACTCACCATTATGCAACAGAAGACACAGAAAGATGGACGTGACAGTTATCGCAGAAAGAGAACTCCAAAAAACATTACAAAATGGCAGAGTTATTATTTCATGCTTAAGATTCACGCCAAAAATACCACCACTTCAATTTGGATTGCATGGGTACGAGATATCACGAGTCAAAATTAATAAAGTTTTGAGGAAAAGGTAAGGTTAACATGAAATCCAAAATCTTATTTCTTACAAAAATAAAGCTCAATTGTAACTTTAGTAAGTAGGTGTTTTGTTGGAGTGTATCAAAAAGGGAAGATGGACATATTTTGTTCAACAACAGAATTATAAGAAACTTTCCTATTAGTGTAATATGGTTTTCCCTAATTGCAATATAGGCTTTGTTCTCTTTACCTTGTTTCAAGAACTTATAACTATTTTCCTGTTAAAATCAAACTAAACCACACCAAATCTTCTTATGCTTCTCTTCGATTAAAACACCTTTTATCAGGTGAAGAGAACAGATCCTTAACTTAAAAAACACTTAATCTAGGCATAGGATATTATTTTCCCAATCTATCACCAAGGACCACCAAAACACACATAAGACCACTAGAACTAAGAGCTGAGGTGCAATATAAGCCATAGCCGCATAGAACATAAAGTGTTCACTCATTAGCCACGTAGTAACAAAACCATTGTACAGTTTATAGGAAGAGTGAAACAGAGATGATGACAAAAATAAATTATTTCAAACCTGCAGAAGTACAACACAATGTTGAGGAAGGCCTATGATCTTGAAAGGGGAGGACAACCATCCATTCCAAACAAATTCATCATCATGCTGGTCCAAGGGCATCTGACTAGGGAAAGGCCGGCTCATGTCCCTTGTCTCACAAAAAAAATGCTTTTCATCAATGTCGAGTGTCATCAATTCTTGTATGTTCTTTGCTTCTCCTTTTCCAATAACTTGAGGATTTTGCAATGAAATTTTGATCCATTGAGCCTCCATCACTGTATAAACACAACCTCCTCCAGGTAAATCAGGAATGCTGGCAGCCAACTTTGTAGCAACAAGAAGCAAGCCAACATTTCCAAGGGCTGCATAACCTAAAATTGCTCTGGCATATGTGGTACTTTTGCAGAGCCATTTAGAACTATTTGTGACAAAATCTACAGCTTCACGTTCTGACTTAAAGATATCAACCCCAGGCTTTCCAAAATAACAAAGTACTCCAGTTGTTGGATCAACATAAATTACTTGGGTGTCACGCCTCAAGGACAAGCTCACAACAATATACACTTCACCAGATTCCAAAGTAAGGACGACTACAGATGTATTCCTTAAACCACCACCTAACAAAACAAAAGGTGAGAGAAATGTCACGCATCAAACATAGAACCACAAATAAACAGATGAATAAAACAAATTCCAGTTTCTTGATGAGGCAAATACAAGGTATAAAAACATACTACCTCCATTTCTTATTAATTGCAACAAAAAGGGGTATTATTTAATATCTCTTTGTTGCAAATAATAAGAAACGGAGGTAGTGTAATGTATTTCAATGCATGTAAAAGCAAAGCAACAGGATCATGTAGGGACAAAACAGATAAGGCCAGCAGGCAACTACTGCGCAATAGCTAGGGCAACTTAAAAAAAGGCCAAAAGGCATAGAATACACTTATTATACACAAGAGTGTACATTTCAATGAGGTCAATATTATTATGAAGACACTGACACTCTTAACTAATTTAGGATACTCAGGGTTACATTCTAGTTTTATTATGGTACTCACTAGCTTGATGTATAGCACCGGTGCTCTCACTATGACGCAAAACATGACACTCTTTGTGATGCCTAAAATCACCAACTTGTATGATAATTGAAAAAATATATCTTAAGTATGGGGAAAGTTTTCTAGCAAAACAAAGGAGGAAGTATTTCCCTTTTTCTTTCTCACTTAGCTTGCTGCATCCTCCTGGCTTTTTTCCAGCAACTAATTCCTTCCCTTATTCTTTCTGAAAAATTCCTTCTCCCTTTTCATTCTAGAAAAACCCCCCCTCCCCTCTCGTAGATTTTTTTGTGGCAAGATCCCTTCCGTCAACATAACCTCGAATTTCTACCACCACTAGCAACTGATGTATGCAACTACGCATTTCAAATTTCTTAGCTTATGAGGTGATATTAGTCCATTTAGAATGCAAACTGCCATTGATATACTCATACAACCTGCCCCCATAACCGAAGCACCACCAGCAACAAAAACGGAAATGGCGGTTGCAAAAATGCAGAAGTATTCAAATTTCCAAGAAACCATGTTATAAGATTACTAATTTACTAGCAAGAAAACACTTGTCCCCAATTCACTAGTTCATAACTGAAAATCAATACTAATTAATACAAAAAAATCTAACAAATTCGATGAGAAAGCGAAAGTTCTGCAAATTGCTGACCTGATGATGCCATGGCTCACTTGCAGTGGCTCTTTCACCCCCAAATCTGAATTTAATTTTGACCTCCCAATCTGAAAAATTCGGTCAATTAATCACTAAATTCATAAAATGTACTAATCAAAAGTAAACCCCAAAATCTCATTTCTGGGCAAATGAAGATTAATTTGCAGAAAAAACAATCTAAATTTGACAAACCCACAAATTTGATGGCACATTTCTTTGATTTGATAACGTAACCCTTTAATTTAAATCATGAAATAAATTCAAAAAAAAAAAAAAAAAAAAAATTGTACCTGGGATTGCTAATTTTTCATCCGAATTGTAGCTAAATTGGCGTTATTTTCACCTGAAATTGTCAGGAAGTTAATAAGAAATTAAACATTTGCGGAGATCAAGAACTCAAGATTTGATTAATTAGGAGAGAGAATTAAGCTGTATTTTAGGGATTGTGTTTCAAAGCAAAGTTTGGTGAATTCTCGTGATTGTTAGAATTTTGTAAAATATAGAATTACTGTCAATATTCAATAATGATATCAGGATTGGACTAATTAATGACATTCGGTTTATTATTTTTTTTTTCTTCTTTTTTTGGACACAAAACTTGTTTTTAAAATACTACACAAGCGATTTTCCCGTAAAAAAATAAATAAATAAAAACGGCTTTATTAAAAAATCAAAATGTTTAATAATAACGGTGAATATTTAAAGATTAGAATACTTTATAGATAAAAGGAACAACCGTGAGTATTGGAAGATCAAAATATTTATCAAGTAATTTAAATTTTATATGGTTTCTTTTTATTGTTTTGATGAATGTTTATATCCCTCAATCAAAAGTAATAGTCAATGTTAGCCTTGTTTAAAATGATGTTCAATCCTTATCCCTAAACTAATCAAATGAGTTGGGTTAAATACTTTTTAGTACGAATAGCATTGACGGTATGATTAAACCTTATCACTCTACATTGTAAAAAATTTTGCATTGAGTAGTTGCGTGATACAAAGAGTTGAGTGCGTAAAATGAAAAAATAGTTTGTTATAGTATTGTATATTCTATGTGCTAATTTACTTTTTCATAAACGTAAGGAAATTAATATTAGGAAGCCCTTCTCACAAGGGAATTTCGTAACTTAATAGAAGAAAGAATAGGCTAGAGTTATTACAAACATCAATAACCTTATTATCTATGTAAAAATTTGTGTTAACACTTACTTCATCCGTTTTTATTTAGTTGACGTGTTTAATTTAAGCACACATGTTAAGGAGAGGAGAGAGATTGAGAGAGAATGATGAAGCAAGTGGGGTACACTTAAAAAGCAAGGTATAAAACTTACCCAAAAAGAAAACGTGTCAACTAAAAAAAAAACTTCCTAAAAAGGATTACGTGTCAACTAATAAAAAACCGAGGTGAGTATTTTTTAGGGTATGACAGTTTGTATTGAATAATTGGAGTAAAGATAAACCTTATACTCTAATGGTTTGTTTGGATAAAGAAAAGGGAAGGAAAAGAAGGGGAGGGAGGAGAAAAGGGAAAGGGAGGGGAGGGAAGAAGGATGAGTTTTCCTTCCAAATCTCTCCATTGTTGGAGGGACCAATTTCCTACAATTTAATCTTTTCATTTCTCTCCCCTCCAATTCCCTCCGTTCCTCATTTGCTATCCAAATGAAAGATACTCCATCTCTCCATTTCTCTTCCCTTCCTTCCCCTCCATTTCCTTCAATCCAAACACACCGTAAGCATTGAGAATACATGGTACTCATGTAATGTCATAGAGGTAACTTGTACTAATTGATTTATTAAAGATTTGAAGGTATCATACGCAATGAGAAGCTCTAGATAGCAAAAATCACCAATGCAAATCTTCGTCAGTCTAGTCCCCTTTTTGATGTCTTTCCCTTTTGGTTTGCTTGGTTTCTTAGTTTTTACTAATACAAGATGTTTGAAACTACAGGCTTTACAACAGTCAAAATCATAATACTTCTTTTGAAAAGACGTCAAAAGCTAGCGATTTAGGAGGGGGTGATGAGGGAGGGGAACACGGGTGAAAAGAGTTATCCGAAATAAGCAGTAGTCACCATTGTCTCCAAGAAGCCATTGCCTATCACTAAAAACAAAAGCAATTTTACTTGATCAAGTCACAAAAAGTGGTAATTATATCAAGTTTAAGAAATTCATCACTATCCTATTCTTACACCAATTCACACTTGCTGTTCTTCCACCAAAACTTTAATGTTGCAATATTCAATGTACAAAATATCAGCTTGAACATTCAACACCATCGCAGCAACAAATTCATAATATGCCACGAAACAGCATATTGCACAGGGAAGAAAAGCAAAATTCCAGACTGCCTTCTAAATCAAGTAAAAAAAAACACTAGTACAAAATCTAAGGTCCGATGATACAAAAACCAAATCTCAGATTTACATTCTATCTTCTCTCCTCCTTGGGGCACATCTGATGATCTCGTCAACCCTAAGGAGTCCTTCAGCTGCTTCAATAGCAGATAATAAAACAGCCTGCTTTACCTTAAAAGACTCTGAGATTCCCAGAACAGACATATCTCCAACCTGCAGGAATCCAATTTCTTGAACATTAATTACATGATTATAAGAAGAAAAAAAAAAAAATAAAGGCAAACCTCAAAAACACAAGGGGAGGGGTTTACAGGATTCAAAACCACAAATAGTTACGACCGATTTCCCAACAATTTAACAATTGATCCATGTGAATAAAATAGACAATCATGTCCCATCGACCCATCTATCCAGTAAATGGGCAAAGTTCACTGTAGCTAGCAGTCCAAAAGTAACATAGAGCGTGACTTTTCTATTTCCAGTCCAATGTTCTAATATGCACTTGCCTAACTGACATCAATCTACTTGTGGTAGACGACACTGCAATTGATAAGAAGAAATAGACTAGAGAAATATGGCCACTTTAGCATCAGTAATTAAATGCGTATAGTTAAAGCGGCCAACACAACTCTTATTAGCATGTTTTAGAATAAAGATTGGAAGTCTACTTACAGCTCCAGTGATCACATCTATTCCTGCAGTACTGCCTTCCTTGTGGTGCTCTGCACGAAGCTTTGAAATCAACTCTGCACTGTCTAATCCAGCATTGTCAGCAATAATCGTCGGTATCGCCTGGAGTGCCCGTGAGAAAGCTTCAATGGCATGAGACTTCTTTCCAGGAGTTTTTCTAGCAAGATCATCTATCTCTTTTGCCATGACCATTTCAGGCCAACCACCCCCAAGCAAAACCCTGCTATCATTCACCGTCTGCGACAGCACACACAGGGCATCGTGTAAAGACCTTTCAGCCTCATCAAGCACATGCTCACTGCATAAAGATAGCAAGATATGTTTAACTCAAGACATACACAGGCAATTAAACAGGTAGTCACGAATAATGCCTGTCAACAAATTTATAAATCTACCAAAAGAATAATTCACGAACACATTTAGGTAAAGATGAATTAGCCAATTAACAGCAAATATAAGGTTTCCAAATATTCTAAGGCCAATGTCAATGCCTTCAGTAAGGCTCATAACAAGGGCAATATCAGTAGCAAACGTCGAAATAATGTAAATATTGACTCCCTCAGTTTAGATTCAGATGATATAGACTACCAATTTCTATATAGATTTGTGAAGGCGAAAAAAGAATATTGGTCATCTAATCTTAATCTGTACAATAACGCTCAGCTCTCAAACCAACAAGGAAAATTCAAAACAGAATAAACTGTCAGAAGAAATTGAAGAGCAGCAACCGCATGACGTTTTCAATAGCTAACATCAGAGGAACATCTTCAATATGTAATAAGCAGTCATGCATAGCCCCAATTACATATGACAATATTATCTCAAGGTTTTTTTATTAGCACTTTCCTTTACTGTTAGCTCCTTCAGCTGATTACCAGACACTAGGCAGACTGACAGTAAGTCTCTTCTTAAAAAAAAAAAAAGGCAATAGCAACTTAATCAAACACCACCACAGCGACGTTCCAATAAAAAGTCTGGCAGATCAGTACACCAACCTTTTTATATTAATAAGCAGTAAACAAACTTATTCCAGCAGGAAAAGAAAAGGAATACAAAAGTGAAATGAACAGCATGCACAAGATCACATCTATTTCATTTTAATGGAAATAATTAAGAAAGATGAAGGAAGATACTAATTCCTCTGTTGTTTATAGAAGCAACCATTGCCGCCACTAAAAAAATGAAGTCACCCACACTGAAAGCTTGAGAAAATAAGAAAGGAGATAAAGAGGGAAAATAAAGACAAAATCAAGAAACATAAAAGAGAGATCATCTGATGGTTGATGTGGCAGTGTTAGTAGTTTTTCGCCACAAAGATGGGTGGTGGCTTTGATGATCAGCAAAGATATGGCAGTGAGGGAGGTGGCTTTGATGATCAGCAAAGATATGGCAGTGAGGGAGGTGGCTTTGATGAACAATGGAATTAGTTGAGAGCTTGTGGGTAGAAGATAAAAATGATGGGAGATTGAAAAGGATATAAAAAAAAAAGGTGGTAATGAGTTGTAGATGATGTAATAATGAAGTATAGATAGGTTGGAAGGGGTGATCTATGGTTATGTTGTTTCGATGATTAGAGGTTGTGGGGATTTGATATGAGAAGAGCTAAAGAGAGATAATAGGGTTAAACAGACAAGCGCATTTTGGGTAATTCTGCACTTGGAATTTACCAAAATCAGAATCGTACCAACTATGGAAAACAGTAAAATAAGAAAAGCATTGCATCTATAAAATGAAGCATAAATGAGAGGAATACAAATAGAGAAATACATACCTTGCACCTCTCAGTACAATTGTGCACGCCTGTCCCATCTCAACTCCAGAGAAATGAATTAGCTTGTCTTCCCCAATCATAATTTCCTCGATCAGTTTGCAATGTCCAAGTTTAACAGATTCAGGATTATCAAAGGTTGATGCAATCTCCCCACCAGTCACCAGAGCAAGGCGTTCAATACCATCAAAATCAGCATGCTCGATGGCAAGCACTCCAGCATCAGCAAAGAGTTCCTCTGGGAAATTGTAAATTAACTGCCGATTAACAAAACAATTAATTCCATGACCAATAATCTTCTTCACTTTCTCCCTCATCTTGTCCTTTTCTGCTCCCTCGATCTCAGCCACCTTAGCCATTGAATCAACACGTACACGTGCCCCATAGATCTTAACTTTGTCTGTGTCCATTGCAGTGTTTGCCACTAAAATATTAGCATTTTCTATACGCTTCGGCTGTCCAACACCAATCTTTTTGTCCAAAATAAATCTGTAGTAGTAAGAAATTCACATAAGTTCACAAGCCATGGAGATGAAAACAATTTTTAAATAAAAAATACAAACAATAATAGTTTTTAAAAAAATACTGATATAGGTGATATTCAACAAATAAAAACATTTTCTATTTACTTTTGCTGGCAACAAATTCACAAAAATGAAGGTCTCATTCATGCAAGTCAGTTCAGTAATTGAAAAAAATATAATAACTAATAATAAAAAGTACAGTACACAGTTTGTAATTCACATAAACTAATGAAAATCTAAAATGTAACTAGAGAACTACTGCAAATCTACTACTAGTGA